GAAAATATATCATTTATTCTAGATTAGATAAACTTGGTACAGGATTGCCATCTGAAGAATTAGGGCATATAATTTTTACAAGCGTTAGAAAAGATATCATAAATGAAGAAAATATTTTCATATTATTAAGGGTTTTATGGCTCAAAGCTAATATTTTTTTGTGCCAAGGAGATACAGATATTGTCATTGAAACTTTAGAATTGGTAAGCAGTTCGATTTCAACATAAAAACATATTTTAAATTTATATAATCAAAAATTATTTTTTCAGTTATTAAATCACATGCAAGAATTGGAAAAACAAAATCAAAACATTTTTTTGAAACTGCCTAATTGTAAATATAATTCTCAAATCAGTATTAAAATAGTAGAGAAAAAACTTAAATCTATTCATAGAGGACAAAAATTAGGAGAGATACAAAATCTGTATGATGAAAAAAAATATGCTGAACTAGCCTATATATTACAGGATACATTTAAATTTGCAAAACAAGGAAATAAATTTTTATCTGTAAATGATAATATTGTTGATAGGGTACAACAATTATCTATGTTATTAGATAGTTTATGGCAATTACAACAATATGAGGAATGTTATGTGTGGGCAGAAGCTTGCCTTAATGAAGCATGGCAAAATTATTTAAATGCTTCTGATGAAATCGAACAAAAAAAATGGACAACTTCTATTTTAATGGCGCTTGAAAAATTAAAAGCTTGTACGATTGAAGTTAGCACTTTTGTTGTGAAATATTTGCCGGAAACACGTCTTTCAAGATTAGTACAAAATTTGGTTCATATTGTTTGCAATCAATTAGATGTATCAGAAACTACTGTAGAGATGCCACTTGAGACTGTTTTGCCTTGGATTTTATTGCATTATATTTTGCAATATAAAGAAGATAAAGAGAGAGCAAAGGCTGAATCATCATATAAAAATAAACATAATTCTAATTATTCTGAATCAGACGATGAAGATGAAGGTGTTCCAGCATCCATTATGATTTTATTTATTGCTCATGATTTTATGGGAAGACATTCATGGTGTTGTTATAATGAAGCAAAACTACTATTTTTTACTTTAAATTTAGTTATTCCAAAATTGGAAACACCTCAATTTTCTAGCATAAAAAGCAAAGTTTCAAAGTATTTAGAACAAATATTTTATTGTTTATATGGTCATTACAATAAAGTGAATAAGAGTCGACCAAAACATATAGAGGAACATGGAGTACCTCAAATGAAAGTGACTTGGGAAGGAGCACAATTATTGTTCGATTTCTATAAACCCAAGCAAATACCAGAATTTTGTTCACCTAAATCTTTAACAATTAGTGCAGATACAGAAGATTTATTTAAACGTATAATAAAGTTAATTCCTCCAGAAAGCGATCCAAATCAAGTAATTGATGAAATGATGGCTTATATCATGGGTGAACGAGAAACAATGCCAACTGTCAAAAAACTTCTACCGCATTCTATGTCCACTATTTATTATCTACTAGCAGATTTTTATTT